TTATAGAATTTTCCCTTAAGTTTGAGGGGTACATTTCTATCACATAACAAGCCCGATGCATTCCGCCACTTCAACCATCCAACTTGAATTCTGCTGATAATATCCCCATCTATTTCACCATCACTCTGAACAATAGATCCAAGAAACGTGTACTCTTATTAATGACTTGATCGCCCAAAGTCACAATCCCCTCACTAGGACTATTACTACTAAAATTACACTCCATATATTCCGTTTTAGATCTACTCAAGCGAAAACCTTTAGACTCTAAGGTTGACCTCCATAATTCCGTATAGATTTGGCAAGTAGAGGGAAAATTAAAATGGGAAGACTGCATGCAGAGGCGCTAAGCCGGGTTACCGGGTTACTTTCAGGTGAATTTCGGGTTACCGGGTTGACCCGGACCCGGCCCGTTTATTAAACGGGTCGAAAGTTGAGACCCGAACCCGACCCGTTTGTTAAACTGGTTGACCATAACCCAGATTTTTTAGGTTGTGTTCGGGTCGGGTTGTCGGGTCGGGTCAATTATTGACACCCCTATTGCACTGTTTGATTTAAAGTTCATTTTATGTGCACCAAAACAAATAAAAGTTTTAGATTCTTAAAGGATTTAAACATTGATATCAAGAAGTTATTGATTTCTCTTAGGATTAATAACATTGTATAGATTTTAAGAAGAACCATTAATTTTGATAGATAGAGATTTGGTTTAGCAGAGCTACACAAGAAATTTATATGTTCTAATGGGGTAAGAAGGTATTTATGCTCCAATATGTATTATTTTTAATGAAAAAAGAAAAAAAATTTGGGCCAATTGTTATTATATGATAGATTTAACAATCTGATGCGATGAACTATGATATATGATAACATAATCTTTTGCCCTAGAAGGAAGAGAGAGAGAGAGAGAGAATTAATATCTTAAAACTTAATTCTCATTAGTGAAATAAATAAGTAATTAGAGAGAGAGAGAGAGAGAGCATAGGAGAGATTTCATTTAATTAAATTATTAATTTTAAAAAAGAGTATATTTAATTAAGTTAAAATGAAAAGTTATTAAATATGAAAAGATTATAAATTAATTATGAATAAATCATGATTCATATATAATTAATAATGCGAGGACAATAAATTCTATTATAAGAACTATTTAAATATATTTAATAATTAGTTAGAGAGAAATATGATCTTAGTATAATTAATTATATATATAAGTTACAATAATATTATGAAATTATTTATTATTATAGGTGTCATATTATTGAAGTCAAAACAAAAACATAAGAGCAAAAGTTATTTAAGCTCAAGGTGAGTACTTATGTTCTTAAAGTATAGTAAGGTTATTGTTTCTTCTAACAGAATTTAATTTATCATCAACATTGCAAATTACTTACATGTTATCTCTCTTTAAAGTAATTAATTATATTGAGCATGATAACACAGACATACATAAGTTAGCACAAGTTATATATTGTGGATTTCTTTTAAATGCATAGAATGATAGTGACACATACCTATTTAATTGTAAGTTAAAGCATGAGTATGTTTTTTTCATATTTAATGAATGGTCATCTTAGAATTTATGATAATTAGATGTTGAGTTTCCTATTTTCATATAAAATTAATGAATGTCATATGAATGAAATAACTAGATATATATGTTTGTATATGCATGTTGACTAATAGAGCACATCCCCTTATGGTACTGACTGAGGATGCAACGCATCCATACATATAAATGAAAAAGGTTATAAAAAAAGAGAATGGAAATGAAAAAGGAGTACCTTTGTTGGTACTATTTTAGATGGTGACTAATGTGACAGTTATATTATTTATGAGAAATGATAAAAATATGATATATGCATAACATTGAAAGTCTTGAAATGAAATAATTAAATATAATTACTCTATGTTTTGAAATGATCATACATATTATTCTTAATGTCTTGTGTTACTGTAATTTATAAGCATGAATTACTCACTGAGTTCTTTATGACTCACTCCTAAATTTATAAATGAATAAATATTATTCAAAGCTTAAAATGAATAGAAGGGAAGATAATGTATATCATAGATGCAGCGCACCAAAAGAAATGTATTTATAATATTTAACTTTATTTCAAATTTTAAGATTTTAGTAGCTCTTTCAGTTTATTTGAAATAAATTTAAATTCATTGAAAATATAAATCACCATTCGACCACCTTTTCCCTCCTCGTTAATTCGAGCATCCTGGCCAGGTCATGATAGTAGAAGACTAAAAATCTAACAAATAAATAGACTTCATTTGTGATAATTTTTTTATTGCTTTCTAAAGTAACTTTCTTGTTCAAAAAATTTTAAGCTAAAATTTTTTGTATTAAAAAACTACTTTAGAAAACAATAAGAAAGCTGTCCCAAATGAATTCTTAGTATTTTTGTGTTAATGTAAGAGATTAGGGCTATACCATTTAGAGGTGTGAATGAACTAAGAAAATATCGAGTTACTCTTGGCTTGAGTTTGAGCTTGATTAATTAAACAAGTTCGAGCTCTAGCTTAATTCTAAAAGTTCAAGCTTTTTCATGAGTCTGCTCATTTATAACGAACGAAAAAATAATAATAACATCAAGCATTTATCCAACTACGTTCGATAAGCCATATAAATTCTGTTTCTCGATTATGTCTTATAAAGAGTCAAATTCTCATTTGAATCTAATAAACATATGTTATTTCTAATGCTTTTTAGGCCTACCTCTACATTTCTTAATATAAGTCAGATCTAATATATATACTCCCTTAATCAGGTCATTGGAAGGCTGACATTTTATGTGATCAAATCATCTAAAGAGAATCTCTCTAATCTTATCTACTGCTGGTCCTACTCCAACTTTTTCACGTATATACTCATTTCACATTTTGTCTCTAAGTGCAAATTCACTCATCCACCTGAGCATTGTCATCTCTGTAACACTTAATTTTATGACTCTATTTTATTGGCCAACATTCTACGACATAATGAATAAAAGAAAATAATTATAATAAAATTATAAAAAAACTGAAATTAAAAGATAAAAAATAAAGAATCACTCGGTATAAGAAAATAAAATAAATTTTTACAAATTTTTAATAATTTTATACTTAAAGCTCCATAATTATAATGTATTTTAAGTACATTTTATAGTAATATTTTTAAATTAGCTCACTAGCAAGTGAACTAATTGAGTTGAAGCAAATTCAAATTTGACTCATTAGCTTTGATACGTTACCAAAAATCATGTTGATCTGGCATGAATCTCAATGAATATTTAAATTAAAAACAGACAAAATTCAATTTATGACCATCTAAACACCGTTCTCTGCAAACTTATTGTCAAATTGAATGTTTCAACAATATGAGCTCGATGACACAAAAATTGGTCCAATCCGAGTTCAAATGGGGTCAAATCAAAAGGCTAAAGTGTATTTGAAAACTTAAAAGCATTAATTAGATGAGAAATTATTATCCAAATATGATATTCTTATAGTCGAATCAAGCAACTCAACGAGACGAATCCAACGAGCACAAGATCACTCAATTCTAACATCATTAAGCCGATTAAATGCTTGATGAAAGTTCAATGATAAAAGGAATCACTATGAGCCTTCCGATAGAACACTCAAAATTTACCATGGATTTTCTACATATTTACTAAGTTTGCCACTCCAAGAAACTATAAATAAACCCAAGCTCTATAGCATTTTCTAGCCATTATCGCTATTGACTAGGCGTGTCAATGTTTGACACGACTTAAAAACCTAACCCGAACCTGAACCAGGTCGGGTTCGGTTTAGAAATTTCTACCCTTTTGTAAAACAGGGTTGTTTCACCCGGAAACAACCTGACTGACCCGGGAAATCACTGTCGTCCATTCGAAATCCAATGTTAAATCGCGTATGTCATCCATCGCATATGTTTTCACTCATTCGCTAGTCACGTCTGCCAGTCGCATCTATCAGTCATGTCCAACCTCCAGTCCTTTCGTCGTCGCTGCCTCGCCGTTCGGTTCGCTCTGTTCGTTTGCTGTTGCAACATTGAAACCGCAGCATCTGCCGCCTGAAGCCAATGTGATTCAACACCGCCGTCTTACCACCCACCGTCACCTCTCTTCCTCGCCGCATCTTCCTCGCTATCAACCCGCCATTGAAGTGCAAACCCTAGCTTTCTTGCTTCAGGCAAATAGGCGACAGCAAATAATGTAGATTGATGGGATTTGGCTAAATATTAGTTATGAGTCTGGTTGGGTTGACCCTATGTGGGTCGGGTTTGAGTTCGAAAATCTGATCCGTTTTCAAAAACTGATCGGGTTCGGGTTGACCTGAATAGTGTCGGGTCAGTTCCCAGTTGAACCCGAACTTGACCCATGACCTGATTTTGACAGCCATACTATTGACGACCATGCACCATCTATTGTTACCGACAACCACCAATTACTATTACTGACAACCATCATCATCTCTAGAGTATTATCAAGATTTGACCCTATTGTTGGGTATATTTGTTCACCAGAGGACACTTACTTTCTAAAATTTCTCCTATGAAGATTAAGCCCTATTGTAAGGTGTAAATATTCGATCCTTATACTCTTCCTCTTCTTCAATAGTAAAGAAAGAAAGATATTTGTATCATTTAGTAAGAGCTGGGCCCATAATTTTTTTTTTTACTTCTACAATTTTTCACGCAAAAAAATTCTCTAATCTTACTAATTTTATATTTTCGTTATACTCCATCAACACAAACTTTTTAGCACACGCAACAAACTTATCAAATTCAATTTGCAAATCATTTATTGAGCAGAGCTAAAACCAGCCCTGTCACACCACCATCTATTCTTTCTTTTACTGTAGCACCACGCTAATATTGTTTACATTCAACCAGGGAAGGAGCGACACAGTACATTTCTCCATCTCGGCGGCGGTTGCGGCTGAGGCTAAAGATGAGATTTTGCCATTTTCGTCGTCTAGAGAGCACAACCATCGTTACCTTCGCGCTCCTATTCGTGCTTTCATTGTTTCCAAACCGCGCTGTTGGTGACAAATCGGCCGATGCTTTCGTTCAGAACGCGGTTTACTCCAACAAGATCACTATATTTTCTAAATCTTACTGTCCGTAAGTCTCCCCACTTTACCAACTTCTGACTTCTTTTGGATTTGATTTCTTTGCCATTTGTTTGTTTTTTCCTTGTTATAGATGAACTCGTCTGAGTTTGGTTTTTCGGTGCATGATTTGCATAAAAGTCGTCTTTGAAATTACTTTTCTTGGTTTGTTAATGTTTTGATGGTGGAAAATATTACGGTTTGCTGCGAAATATTGCAACTTGCATTGCATTGATGTAACCCTAGCTTAGAGTAAATGCGTGTGCTAGCTATCACAGAATTACACAGAAGGTTCCTTGATGGAATTTGTGAAGTCTGAATGGATCTTTATATCTCATTTTGTTGGCTGAGTTTAGAAACATGTTTTGAAATGGATTAATTTTTAAGTTTCCGCCATTAGTTGGAATTGTTCATGCATTTTTCAACTTTACGAACCCCTTCAAAACCTCTCAACAGCGAGAATTTTATTTTCGCACTCAAAAGTGTTGAAACAAAATCATTGCCTCCAAAAACATGTTATCTGCAATCATACAAAGAAGACCTTAGAAATTTAGGACTGCGCTTTACTTGGTGATGTTTCAGCTCCAATTTGATGCGGTGCATCATAGTTATCATATTCCTTTAGTGTATTTTATTCTTTGTGACTTTCTGTTATTCTGTGTTAGCCTCTACTTCCGTAGTATCTGTTTCTGATAATGTAGTACAGGTTCAGCTTTTATTCTATTAGAGTTATTTTCAGCAAGGGGAGATGTCCCTCTTGATAATAGTTGCATATATAGCTTCTTACAAAATGAGGAAGAAAGCATATTATTCTTATTATACATTTACAGCGAAGCCTTTTATCTGTTCTTTTGTTCTCACATGCTTCTTCTACAGTATACCACATCACAATTAGTGTTGTAAGTTTAATTGATCTAACTTGGATTTAGCATGGCTTGATATGCTGAACTCAGAGAAGCCATCAAGCAAAAATTGAGCTAGTTCTAACGTGGCTCATGAACTCATGAGTTGTCTCATTTAAACAATATTAACATAAATTATACACAATATAGTTGCCTTCAAGATTTTAATTTATAAAGTATTAAAAAGATCTGAATTTTAGCTCCCATCTATCCTTTTTCTAATTTCTTATTGTTTTTCCTTCTATTTCTCATTCCTGATGGGATTGTCCTGAGATTTGCATTCATCTTCTCTCTTTTATAATAAGATAAGCTGGCTCAAATTCATTCAATTTAAATCAAGCTTCAGCTCCATTAATTCGCCATGCTGAAGCTAAGCTTGGGGCAGCTTGAGCTTGTCTTGCCTTTAGCTCCAATAACACTAGGAAGTCACTGGATAATTTTTTTTTTTAATGTCACATGCAGCAGCAACAACAACATCAAGCCTTTATCTCATGATGTTGTGTCGGCTACATGAATCCTTTTTCTCCACCGTGCCCTGTTAAAAGTTAAAATCTTATTTAAATCTAATAAAGAAAGGCCATTTCTAATATTTTCTAACCAAGTGTTTTTAGGTCTACCTATACCTTTCTTAACATAAGTCATATCTAATACATCTACTTTCCTAACTGGGTCATTGAAAGACCGCCATTTTATGTGACCAAACCAACTAAGGCGACTCTCTCTAATCTTATCTTCCAGTGGAGCTACTCCAACCCTTTCACGTATATGCTCATTTCGTATCCCATCTCTAAGAGTAAAGCCACTCATCCACCTGAGCATCCTTATCTCTGCAACACTTAACTTAATAATATGCTTCTCTTTTAATGACTAACATTCAGCACCATAAAGCATTGGAGGTCTAACCACCATTTTATAGAATTTTCCTTTAAGTTTGAGGGGGACTTCTGAGTGAATGAGCAAATTGTTTCAGTGAAAAAAAGTCAATGGGTGTAATTGTTACTGTGTTTTAAACTCGTAACTGTGAAAATCTTCTCTTTTGAAAATCTTAAGATGACATATTGGAAGCTAAGGTAATTTAAACAAACAAAAAATTTAATGGCAAGGTACTTTTAATATAGTTTTTTTGTTTGATATTTTTTATATTATATGGAATATGTAGCATGGAATATGATAGGATGGAACCACCAAGTAGGCAGTAGTTGTCCTAGGAGGCGGAAAATCAATATTCAATTAAAGAAACACAAGACGTGCATTTCACTTGTGGTTATGCGCATGTCTGCACTGATTATTCTATGTTAAAACTAACAAGGATTCTTCCCTAATTTCATTACTTCAGTTTCACGATCTTCTCCATTGGAAGATCTTTCAAGCTTATAAACATGAGGCATTTTGGAAAATAATTGTTGTTTGCAGGATATTGAGTTGGGAAAATGTAGATTGATCATGATTATTTTAACCTTTTTTGGTAAAAACACATTAGTTAAAATAGAAGATGTAGACATAGGATTTATTGTGTGAAAATTGTGAAAAAAAAAAGATATCGGATTTTTCCCAGTTGAACATTTTTCACTATTATAAAAAGAGTTAACAGTGTACCTCTCTTCCTTGTATGATAAAAAATTGGCCAATATAATGCAAGAGGGCGAGCTGCCATGATTGTTTTTAGCAATAGCTGCATAGACACAGTTAGGAGTTGGTGTTGCAGCTAACGGAGCATAATAGTTGACCTAAACAAAGATAGCAATGGTGTAAGTTTGTGGACATTAGACATGGCGACGGGGATGTAGCATACTTTGAGGTAGCTGCAGCCATGTTTTGTTAGAGTTGCAATGTTCTTGAAGGTTGTTGTGTCATAAGACTTACCAGATAGAGCTGCGGCCAGAGTCGTGATGTACCCGGAGATAGTTGTAGCACTTGTGTTGCTGGCAAAAACTGTGATGTAGGTTTTGTAGGCGATGATTGTGATGTATGTTGACTGTTGTGGAGGCTACTCGTTGGATTTCTTGGAGAATATGAACACTTTTTCAAAATTGAAAAAATATCTTTTAATGAACCATATATTGGGCTGTTCATATGGATTTGATAATTTTTTTCTGTAAGCTACCATGATTCATGATTTGGTCTGTAATTTAGTTTTTGTAGTTGTATTGCTAAGTTTTCTAATGAGCTAAATGACCACAAATGATGATCCAGAAATCTCTAAGCCTTCTAACTTTATCAAATAGTTGTCATTGATGATATTCAACTTGTTTATTCGTTTTTTTTTTAATTGTTATTCTATAATACAATAAAAATCCGATCATTGATGCTACTCTGCGGTTTTTTTATTGAACTTGCTGCACAATAAAAGAAAAAAGCTATGTTGATGCTCATTAATCTTTGGAGTACTTTTGCGGGCAATATTCACATGCTCGTTTTTATATCTTTTGAATATAATGAGAAGTAGAACCAGCATTTGCTGTACTCCCACATCAATGTGAGAATCTTAATTTATACATGTTTTTAAAGAAATTCCTGAATCTCATAGCTATCAATCTGATAATTAAGCATCATTTATCCTTGTCTTGAGAGAGTTCTAATCGTCCAAGTAGTTATTTATAACACAACGCCATCTTCCCAATTTTGGAACTATTAAAAATGAGAAAATGATATATGTTTTTCCCCTTAATGTAATATGCCAACTTTCATTCTTATGCTTTTGTTGTTGTAGATACTGCAAACGCGTGAAAAGGATATTCAGTGAACTTAACGAGAAACCATTTGTTGTGGAACTTGATCTTCGAGGTATGTGATATGCACTGATATTACATTTTGAAAAGTTAGTGTACTTGTGAAATGTCTTTCAGTGGCATTGAAAATGAAATGATGTCAACAACTTTGTATTTGTTAGTTTTATGTGTGAATAACTATGCACACTCTGTTATTTTTTAGGCAATATTTTTAAGAGATTTTTATTGGACTACAATCATAAATATTTTTATTTATTGACATGCCAATATTTTTGCATATTATTGATGTACCTTCCTATTCTATTAACTCTTAGTGATATTATTCTAATTTGTCGATGATAATACAAAGTGAATATCATGTTAATTTAAAAAGAGTATTCTCTTGATTCTCATTAAATTTCTAATATTTACTTATTTATAAAAATTCTAAACGTACTTTCTAATTTTTTCTTTGGAACAAAAATTGAATTTTATTCTTTCTGTTAAAATTTTATCTGTTAAAAAAAATGTAAAATTAATGTTTTCATAAAAATTATAATGTTTAATCATAACAAATTGGTACAATCATAAACCGTTTATTTTTCTCTTTAGGATCTAGAGATTGCAAAAGTGAATCTATAAGCGACCTGAGAGGACAAAGTGACTGAGGTTATTTCATTAGAAAGAACAATGAAAATTGATTAGGGTGTGAAAGAATGAAAATTTAGAAATTAGTATTGTAGGGTTTTTTTTGGTATAGCTATAGCACATATGTCATTAGCTGGCTATTGCCTATGAGTCTCATCTCTTGTGCTATTTATATTGCAAGGTATGGGTAGTCAAAATAGCATGAACTATATGCCTTATAGTTCATGCTGCATTGTCCTTGCAATGGGCCCTATTTAATTTATTTCCATTAGGCGTTAGATAAATTTATTATATTTAATTTTATTATTATATTGCTAATATTTTTTAATTTCTTTGTTCTCTATAAATATTATTCTTTTTTAGCTAGGGTTTTTGTTTCTCACTCATGTCATGTTCCTCCCCATTTTGAAGTGATGGGGATGTTGTAAAGAGGTTTCAAGGATTGTTGAAGTGGTGGTTGAAGGTTTATGGTTGGTGGATGGCTCAGGAAATGTTGTCTAGTTTAGGATTTATGGATGATTTTCTGGGTGTAATTTTCGTGCAATGGTTAATCAGGTTTTCTTTACTAGAAATGGGTAAGGACCTCCAAACTTGAGGCTTGGGATGTTAGCTAATTAATGGATGTGATTTTAGTCAATTGAATGTATTGTTAGGAAGTTATGAATTTCTTATGTGGATTGGTTAAGTGTGCAATAGGAGCTATGATTTTGCAAAAGGAGTATGATTAGGTTAAGAATACAAAATTAGAAACTGAGACATTTTGCCTCAAACTGAAGACATTTTGCAAAAGGAGTATGATAAGAAGCGTAAGACTCGAATAAAAAATCAAAACATAATAAAACTCATAAAACTAAGAAAATTTAAAATAAAATACAAAACATAAATGAAATTAGCTAAAAGAAAAATATGTAGAAGTAAATAAAAAATCATAAAAAAATGAAAATAAAAATAAAAAGAAAATCAAGAAAAAAATTATTTTTTTAAAGAAAAAAATAACAAAAAATTTATCCTAAAACCACTTCTATAAAAACACACATGCTCTCAAACTCCTCCCCGCACTTACTGACTCCACCCCTGCGCTCTTCGAGCCTTCCCTGTTCAGATGATCCCCATTCACAAGCTCCCGCTCTCACTCCATCCCTCACTTGACTTGTATGACTCCCAACCACTTGCTAGACCTAAACCCATTATTGCTCAACTAACCTAAAAGAAAAAGATATGTAAATGTATCATAAGTTTTTTTTATGTAAATGTATTATAAGTTATAGCAACTTTTAAGCATATTATAATTATATTAATATAACAAAATAATTTTCTTATACTAACTATTTTTAAGCACTCGATACGAACGTCTAAAGCATAAAACCTCTAGGTATTTTTTTTTGTACGCCTCATGTTGAGGCATGCCTCGAGGCATATGCCTCATCAATTTTTTAAATCAATAGGGTTTGGATGTGTCAAATTTTTTTAGGGTTTTAGATTGAGGGTTTGAGAAGATGGTCAAGATTCATGAGAATAAGAAATAGAAGAGAAAATGATATGTTAAATATTACAGTGTTGACCCGTATGAGTTAAAAAAAAAATCAAATAAAAATTATACCTGCCCGCACGTCGTCGCCGCCCAAATTGCGAATATCCCGCGACCCAGACATCCCACACATGTCGACGTCGTTTCATCGCACGATCCCTCTGCCTCGTTAAAACCCGAAGAAACGAGAGAGTTCCGCTCTCTCTGGCTCCCCCGCCCTCACTCTCATTCCGACTCTCTCTCTCGCTCTGGCTCCCTTCTTTAAGACTGATCGGAAGTTAGGACATTTTGATCGGGTGCAACAATTGGAGCTTGCGGCTGTGAAGACAACTTCCTCCCTTTCGTGCTTCTTCTCCGGCACCTTCGTGGCTCGCCGACTTTGCTCCGTCGATGTTGTCCCTTGCCATCGCACCGAAAGTTACGGCAGTTTGATCGGAAGCAAGAGCGGCAGTCTGCTCGCTGTGACGCTAACTTTCTCCCTTCGGTGCTGCTCGACGCCGCTCATACGACTTTCCCTTGCTGTAGGATCGGAAGTTCCGATGTTTGATCGGAGACAAGAGCGGAGCTCGTTCGCTGTGAAGCTTTGGCTCTTACCTGGTTGTTCGACTTGGCTGCCTTCGACGACTTTCCCTTCCTGTATGAATCGGAAGTTACGACATTTTGAAAGGAAGCACAACAGGAGCTCGTTGTGATCGCAACTTTCTCCCTATCACGTGCTTCTTTGGCTCCTTTTGGCTGTTTCGACATCGCTCCTCAGACAACTTTCCCTTCCCGTGGATTGGAAGTTACGACATTTTGTTCGGAAACAACGGGAGCCCGACGGCTGTGAGGGTAACTTTCTCCCTTTGCATACGCTACTCCGGCCAAATCCCATAAATCCACCAAGCCGAGGGATTAGTGATATTTTTAAAATTAATTAAAATTAATTTTCATTAATTAAAATTAAGTAATTTTTATTAATTATAATCATTTTAATTAATTATTTATTATAATTAATTATAATTAATTTTAATTAAAATTAATTATAATTAATTGTAAGAAATTTTAATTATAATTAATAAAAATTACTTAATTTTAATTAATGAAAATTAATTTTAATTAATTTTAAAAATATCACTAATCCCTCGGCTTGGTGGATTTATGGGATTTGGCCGGAGTAGCGTATGCAAAGGGAGAAAGTTACCCTCACAGCCGTCGGGCTCCCGTTGTTTCCGAACAAAATGTCGTAACTTCCAATCCACGGGAAGGGAAAGTTGTCTGAGGAGCGATGTCGAAACA